TTCATACCGGCCACACTGGGTCCTCCCTTTAACTCGAGAACACCGACGTAATCGCCTTGAGTGGTGCAGACAACGGTCACTCTGGGATCAGGAATGGAACAGTATTGAGTATTGTCTTTAGTGACGAGTCGTGCCAGGGTTAGAAGGCGACGTGGTGAAAGGAGGAATCCACAGTTTTTTGTTGAAAGACATGTTCATCACACTGTTGGAGTTATGGTTTGGGGTGCTATAGCTTATGGTTCCAGGTCACCTTTAATCTTCATCAGAGGTAATATGAACGCGCAGCGTTATATCCACGAAGTTCTAGAACCCCATCTTTTACCCTATCTTGACACCCTGGCAGATCCAACTTTCCAACAAGATAATGCCCGACCACATGTTGCAAGAGTCACAATAGACTTCTTTCAACATAATGATGTCACATTGTTACCATGGCCACCAAGATCTCCCGACTTATCCCCAATTGAGCACGTGTGGGATATGATGGATAGGAGATTGCTCAATTTGCAACGTCCTCCTCAGACTCTAGAAGCACTTCGAGAGGAGTTGGTGGTTGCCTGGGATGAGATACTACAGGAGGACATTTACCACCTGATCAGAAGCATGCCTAGGCGCGTTGGAGAATGCGTAGCACATCAGGGTGCAACCACACATTATTAAAGGTCAAAGGGCTTTAAAGCAGTGCAATCATTTTGAAATTTTTATCATTTACTTATTATGCTTCATTAAGTACTTATACAAAATTTTATTAAAATAAAACCATTTTAACTGGGTGTTCGGATTTATATGTCACTTAGTATATTTAGTATGGTAACAATTATTTGCGTTCTGTTTTACTTTGTCGTGGGCCTTTCCATGATCTTGGTATAATTGATTTAAGGGTCGTCCGTGGCAGATGCCGCATCCGTATAATTTTGGTCATTCACTGCAATATCTGCCTCATCTTTCCATCACTTTCCAATCAGGTTCTTTGGAAATAGACAAAACAAGTACTTTTTTGAAGTTACAAACAACCCAACTGCAGTAACAAAGGAATGAAGATGTAATAGCGCTATCAGGAGAATTCTAGGGACATCTCGTATGTCAAAATCCATCTTTGAAATGTAGCTGGTGAAATAGAAATTTCAAGATTGAATTTTTCCATTAAAATCCGGTATTTCGTTTTCTGTTTTTATAAAATTACGGTATACCCAGTGCCATTCGCATCGTCAAAACAAATTTAGAGATACCTCATTTGTCAGAATTTGTCAACCGTAGCACGTGAAATAGAAATATCTACATTAATCCCTTTTATTAAAATTCGCAATTTTTTTTAAAATTTTAAAATAGCCAGTATCACTCACATGCTGAGACAAATCCAAATCCAACAATACATCATATGTCGAAATCCACCAGACCACTTAAGTTGTATGTGGGAATTTCAAGGTTGACTTTTATTATTGAAATCCGTCATTTTGTTTCTACAAGATTTTAATATACCTAGCTAAAATTTGTATATAAGGCATTAGAACCAAAAACGAAAACTCAAAGAAGAATTTAATAGTATGATCCATACCATTCAAACACATCCTGGTCTGCTTAAGGTGTGCTCAAAATGAACGAATGAACGAAAAAAAATCGTACCCACAATTAATATACCAAAAGCCCCTATCGGTTCTTAGATCTCAATATTTCTGGAACGGTACTGTTTACCACAAAAATTGCGTTTTACAAAATTATAGAGTTCTTTAGGACTTGCTCAATTGCTTTTTTGTCAGTTGCTGCTCATGCGTTCGTTGATTTTTAGGATCTAAGCTACTACTGCGGGTCACATGCGGCATGTTTTTTATCGTCGATCATATGATCGACTGGCATATGAAAGCAGTTATTTTTGCGTACTTACTGACAAACTATGCAATTTTAAAGCTATATCTTTATAATTGCATTGCTTATCAGGACATGAATGTCCCGTTTTGAACGTTTCCTGACTCATTGCTTTTGTGTTCCTATGTGTTTTCAAACTTCACTGCTTGGTGTCGATCGGAATTTTACACCTTTTATAAATTACTAGGATGTCTTGGCTTTAGGGTTTATTTTTCATAATGCAGTCCACAAAAAATGATAATAAAATAATAATGATAATGTCTTTATTCCCGCAAAAAGAAATAAAAAATACAAAACCAGTTCTATATCTACGTATAGTGGGAGGCACATCCGCCCTTCCACTTAACCACGGCTTTTAAGTTTACATTATAGTTTCCATACAGAGAAACAAGGCAAAAAATCTGTAAGTATAAGCGGTATCAAAAATGGACACTAACAACAAATTTCAGAAATGATACCACATAAATATATAAACACATGATGGTCCCATCATCATACCATCTAATTACCGCCAATGTAATAACCGATATGTTTTTAAACGAATTAATAGAAAGAGAAGTATGTATATATTGTTATAAAGTTCAAATATATTATGAGAAAAAGACTTCTAATAAGGTGGTAAAATGAAAAGGTGGTGTCAGTTTCATTTTCTTACGGGTATTACGTTTGTGAGCTAAGTAACGAAATGTATCTTTTATTGTACGAGGATAGGCAGTAACCTACTTACATTGCTTCATGTTCAGCCAGCCAACATTAGTAATCCTGGGTGACACTAAATCATATTTCTTTAAGCCAAAAATAAGTGTGATACAAGAATTTTGTACGCGTTGTGCTTTATCGGAGGTAAATGAAGTAAAAAATTTGTCAAAGACGACATCACAGAAGTTAAAATGCGACAGAATTGGAGACAATTGTATAGTTTGGTTTTAGTTTTTTGGTTCATATAAGATTTAAACCGAGATTATTTCTAAGGTATTGCGGCCGAGATTTATTTTAACCAGAGGTTCACAATTTTCTCTCCATTTCTTTGGACCAGATAACATCACTATACTTTTAGTCGGTGTCAAGTCTAAACATATGTTACGAGAAGCTTTAGTGAGACTCTCAAGGTCTTTATTTATCAACTCAACAGCAGGCAATGTTTGGGCTGGAGGATATGATAAGTATCCTTGTGTCTCATCTGCATAAAAATGAGCTTTGCATAAGTGTAGACTAATGTGTAGATTAGAGACGTAAATAATGGTTATTAGCGGATCCAGAATGGAGTCCTGGGGAATACACCTATGGTCACCTCCAATGGCGTGGCATACACCCGGGTACATTGTTCCTCTTACATAGCAACGACCTCCTTTTTGGTGCGATCAAGCCGATCCACAACTATGCTGACTATAGCACTCTGTATGCTAAATTCAGAGTGACCAGGCGATCTCTACCAGTGAGATGGAGCAAAGAAGACTTCCAGCGACTTCCTCTCTCACGAACGACCTGAAGGTTATCACTGCTTGGAGAAGCAGCAATCTGGTGCAGTCTAATGCTGCTGAAATACACGATGTGCCTACCAGATAGACTCGCCTGACTTCGACCTCCCATCCTAACCGAGTTGAATTTCGTGAGTTCAGAACTTTGCTCCTTTGTCCCTAGGGTATCAAGATTATGGAACAATCTTTCTGAAGAGGCTTTTTCCAGCTTTATTAACTTTAGGCACTTTAAAAATCGGATTAAAGTATTATTTAAGCTCCTGATAGCAGACGTGGTATTCAAGCTTCTGCCTCTGTGGCTGCTTAGGTATGAAGAAATAACTATTATAAGTGCATACACGGACGCTGTATCAGCTAGCAGTGATCATATCTGCACAACACTATCAGCGCCAATTTCTAAAGTTATGATATATTATGGTAGCTCATATTTCAGAGTGTTTTAGTGGCCATAATGGTTTATCATTAGAAATGAAAATAGCAAAAAGTGTAACAATATTCAAGAGGAAACTCAGGACTTTATATTACAGATCCAAGTGATTATTATTGTTTTGCACTACATTTTTTTCACCACATATACAAATTTGTATCAAGTGGATATCAATAAATAAGTTTTCTTGTTCTTATTATACATACATATATTATATATATATATATATACAGGGTGACTTCGAAGTTGAGTCATTTATTTTAACAGTGAGTAGATCTGATCAAAAGAAATGTTTTTTTCCTTTACCATTTTTCTGGTAAAATTAAAGTAACAAAGTTATAGCCCTTTGGAAGTTTGAGTACCGCCCTGTCTCAATAATAATATTATGTGCTCGTGTTTGGCAACAACGGATATAATCCGCCTTATCGGTTCATCGCATCGGAAACAAAAAAGCGAAAGAATTTGGAACGATGTTTTTACAATTATTTTATTCAGTTGTATACAGTCAGTGTCAGTCGGTAACGCGTGAGTGAATAGTGATGTCTGTTGCGTGGCTCAATCGAAATAAAAAATGACACATGTTTATGCGGATCGGATTCCCAATCGAGTGCAACCAACCCCTCGTGCCTTTGTTAATGTAGTACAACGGGCTCGTGAATCAGGTGACTTAAGACCTCACAGGGGACGGCATGCCGGTGCTCCAAGACCTCACGATCAAATACAGGTCCGCACTGAAATACTTGTCGGGAGGATACTTTATAAAACAAGGTAAAATTTTTTCTTAATTTTTTTTTTATTTTTACACACATATTTTGGTTTATCTTCCTTCTACAATCATTAACTGAAAATTAATGACTCAACTTCAAAGTCACCCTGAATATATATATATATTATTATATATATATATATATATATATAATAGCTCAGAGCTAAATAAACACCTAAACACCATAACTAATTATTGATCAGATAATTTCTTTAGCTTTATGTAGATAATATTTAATAAGCTGTATACTGCTCTGTAATCCAGGACTAAACCAAATTACACTGTACGGCATACCAATCGATAAAGCACTAACGATGAAATGGTTATAACTGGAGGCGGTTGATACAACTTAAATAAATCCACGCTAAGAAGTTTTACAACGTGCCAGCAACAGCAATAATCTGTAGGTTGTTGGTTATTATTGGTAAATTATCATTTTATCGCTTTATGGCTCAACTCAACTCACCCATAGCCTGCGCTAATTGATCCTGATCTGACCTAAGGCGGTACGAATGTACACAGCCGCCGGGTTCGCTGCAGGCACCACTAGAAGCGGTTTCTCCAGATCCTTCAGACTCTGACTGGTTTTGGTCTTCCTGGTTTGAGGCTTCTGTAGAAGTTTATAAAGTAGATAGATAAATGCTTTATTGTCTAAAGAACACTACTATCACGCTTAATGACAAAGCTAACTTAAATCTGAACCAATATAATTACATAAGTGGACCTTAAGTACGCGAATTGTAGAACTCACACAAGGTATAATATGGTTTACGTATTAAACTTTTTTTAAGTTCCCAGCGGAATATCTTTAAATTGTTAATTCGTTTGATAGCGTCAGAGAGACACATGTAATCTTCAGACCATTATAAATTATTGAGTCTTTCACAAGGGTTGGTTTAGATACTACTTATTTAGGATCTTGTTTCCGTCTGACATTGTAACTTATAATTAATGTTTCAAATTTAGATTTATTCTTAAACATAAGAGCTGCTGTTTCACCTTGCAACTAATTGTTCGTACAATAAAGTAAATCTTTCCTAGTGTATTAAGCAATTTGTCTACATGATTAGTAAAGTCTAATTTATGACTAATAAATAATCAGTCCTAAAAATTTGATGATGTATTTAAATTTATAAAATCAAGGAATTTTTTCAGTAGTATAGTATTATTTACACTGTCAAAAGCTTTGGAGAAGTTGCAAAAAAGAGCTATTGAGGTTTGCTTGTCATTTAAATTTGAGTATAACTGTTGGAGTAAGGTGAAAATAGCTTCAATGGTATTTTTTTGTTTTTGAAATCCAAATTAGTTGTCACTTATAATTTTGTTGATTCTTAAAAAGTCTCTCAATCTAATTCAGCCCTATAATTTACAGGTAAATCGCTTAGACCTCCTTGGAACAACAATTGATGTTCTTAAATATTCTGGTGAACACCTGTATTATGAGAAATATATAATAATATAAAGTTTTCTGAACGTATCAAGAGCAATTTCGTCAGTGTCTAATGATTTTTATTTTTGGTAGATCTCGATACTAATTGCAATTCATAAATTTGAGAAGAATAAAGGAAGCATTTTTGATCTGTATTTATAAGGTTTGGATTTTTCAACGGATCGTCAGTATTTTGTATAGTATTTTTTAGTTTTTATACTAGTGTACACTAATAGTAAGTTATTTAGTACATCAGGATTTATAGGTGAAAGTAGAAGGTTTGCCTCTTAATTCGTTTACGACTTACCATGCCTCCTAGGTTTTATTTTCTGTATTTATATCTTATTTTGTTTATATTTTTTTTTACATTTATATTCCATGATACGTCTCATATAGTAGTTATTGAAAACTTCATTTTTTATAAATTTCTTGGTATAGTGTTTATATTTATGTATATATATAGTTTTTACCACTAATTTTAACTTTTTTGGTTGTGGAGCTTTCATGAAAAATACAAACAAGTTCTTCATAAAATCGTAGTTTGTACATACATATGTAGTCAATTATGGTGGAAGAAGAGTGAGATACATGTGTGCTATCCTGATCTTGCATATTCAAGTTAAAAGACAAAAGAGGTTGATGAAGGGCCAAGACATCACAATTATTTTCATCACAACTGATATTAAAATAAATTAATTTCTTGATTAAAATATGAATATTCAGTAATTTCTTTAATTTCTGTAGATTCAATATAATTTTGATTGATTAAGATTATAGACCCTCCGTGGATGTGTATTGTTCTACAATATTTACTGACAACGGAATAGTTTTTTTTCAAATTACAGTTTCGTCAGGTAATAACCAATGCTCTGTAAGTAAAAGAAAAGTTGGGACATTTAGGTCATCTAAGTTCATCGGCCATATCCCTTTCAGCCCTGAATTTTTGAAATTGAAAAAAAAATGTTTGCTGTAATTATTGCCTAGTAACATCTTGTCAACCTTATCAACAAGTTAGAAGTGTTTTCCACCACAGGTAAACCGCCTAGGAAGTCGTGGCAAATGCCACCATCAGGTGTCGTTGACAAAAAAAAACACAAATCATAAATTTATTATTTCTATTTTATGTCAAACATTATTTGTTGTGAAAAATTTTAAAACAGTTTCTAAACTTGGAAAGGCAAAGAGAAATTCGACATTTTTCACATAAAATTCGGGATCGCCCTCCACAAGTTTCCAGCTTGCACCATTGTTCGTGACCCTTTATATGTATAGGCCAATGGCCAATATGGTCATATAGTCAACGCCAAACAAAGTGGCGTGCACGTCATCACGATAAAAATTCCCCGACCTAATGCCTAGGTTTCTATCACAAACAATTGCTCTATTGCAGTTTCATATTAATGTGATATATAAATTGTAAAATGGTCATTACTCTCTTATTATGGTTAATAGTCATATAAACATTGTTATTAAAATATCACATAAGTTGCTTTCTGATAAATTTAGACGCATTATGCGAAATAAAATGTTTTGCAAACGCTCCAATCACTTATCGACATGTAAACGCACTAAACCGATTTCGCAGCGTTGACAGTGTTGACACATTGTCACCTTGAAACTTATTTAAACTGGGAACTGACATTTGTATTAATTTTGACACTGAATCAATTTGTGGCATTTCAAATCTTAATAAATCCGTTGGCCCCGCATACTGTAAATCAACAACTGTTTGTTTCAAAACAAAATTATTCATTTTACGAGTAGATAAAGGCAATTTTGGTATATAAAGATGCCCAAACAGTTAAATAGTCGGTGTAAGGAACTCGTGGCCTCGTTAATGCACTACTTTGAACAAGAAAGGGACAACAACGGGCCTTTGTTGCCTTTAAATGCTGTTCAAGAGGTAGGTTACTAATAATTATATGTAATGTATATTAATAATAGTGAAATTTTATTTCATTTTTTGTAGCGTGTTGCTGCTGCTTTAAAAATTAGTTTAAGGACAGTTAGTCGTATTTCCGAGGGTGTGAAAAGTGATGCAAATTTAGAATCGCCCAAGAAAAAGCGGAGTTATATTAAACGTGTAACCAACACAGCGACATTGGATACAAGTGCCATTCGAGAAGTGATCTATAATATGTATCACAAAAGTAAGATCTTATTATAATAACTTATCAGAAATTTGTATTAATTTGTTAACTAAATTATAATGTCATATTACACATGGTTTCAGAAGAACAAGTTACGATACAAACTTTATGGCCACGTCTTTAAGGCGGTTGCTTAGAGATCTTGGATTTAAGTGGCTTAAGGACAATCCGCGACGAGGGCTCATGGAACTACCAAGTATAGCTTTGAAAAGGGTGGAATTTCTAAGGCAATACAATCAAGCCAAGGTTGAGGCCTTATACCAGTTTGTCTTCCTCGATGAAACTTTGATATTTCAAAATGGGACCATAGGTCGCTCTTGGCAAAATGGAAACCAAAAAAGCGTGAAAGCTATTAAAACAGATGGTAAAAGGTATGTACTTTTACACAATTTGCACTATAAAATTTAAAACTAATATATTTTAGATACATTATATTACATGCTGGAAATGAAAATGGGTTTATTGAGGGTAGTGAAGCGATATTTTCTTCGAAAACAAAATTGAGCGATTACCATGGAGAGATGAACCAGGACAATTTTTTGAAATGGTTTCAACATCAGTTATTAGAAAAATTGGAGAGTCCATCTATGATTATACTGGATAACGCCCCTTCTCACAGCATGATATTGAACAAAGTGCCCAACAATGCATGGACAAAAAAAAATATCCAAGACTGGTTGACAAATCAAAACATACCATTTTTAAACACAATGTTTAAAACAGAGCTATTGAGTATTGTTGCTCGGTACATAATGCTTCTTAATTATATATATTTTGGTCGACAGTTTATATTTCTTTTGTTTATTCCTATTCTTAAAATAACTGCTTTTTTAGAAACAAACCACCTAAAATATACGTGATTGATGAATTGGCGGAACAACATGGGCACAAAGTTCTTCGTCTGCCTCCTTACCATTGTATATTTAACCCTATTGAGTTAATTTGGGGCACAGCAAAAGGTTACTATAACAGACATATTGGTAGAGATGGTAACAGTGAAAAAGACTGTTTGGATATGTGGAACGAGGCTCTACAAACGGTTACCCCAGACATGTGGAAAAATAGTGTTCGACATACTGAGCAAGAAATTTTTAAATGGTATGAAAGAGAACGAATTTTTGATCGACCAGACATCGAACCTTTAATAATCAACTTTGAGAGTGATGAAGATTCAGATTCAGACTAGCGCTGAAGAAAGAAACTCCGAGTAACTTTATTGTACAGAAAAAGCTTACACCAGTAGCTTACCTAATTTTAGAATGCATTTTTCTGTATGAATTCTGTAAAATAAATACGATGCATAAAATTTGGAGGACCCCATTTGGATTTTTATTCAGTACCTTTAAGCTATCAATTAAATATGGTAGTTTCATAGTGTCATCTGATCAATAATTGTCATACTTAATGATTATGCAAGTACAGATCTATAATTTTATTATACTATTATTTTTGTTCTCATTTGAGGTTAATATTGCTTATAAACCTAGATATGTAAATAATAAATTTTATTATTTTACAAAAAGTTTGGCAACAATGTAAATTTTTCAACACACCCACTTTGATGACGTGCACGCCACTTTGTTTGGCGTTGACTATACCTAACATCTTCAACTGGAACAACATGCTGCGATTTATGCTGTTTGATTGGTACAGGAGAGTTTCGGTGACTACTGCTGTTGCTAGTGGATGGTCTACCCCGTTTTGGTGCCGCTATCGAATAACCAGAAAATGCCAAACCCTTAGCTATGGACAAAGTGAACTGCAAGAGGTCCATTCTGGATATTTTCATCACACCTCTGTGGTCCACCTCTTCCTGGTATTCAAGCCATCAATTACAGACTGCTAAATTGAAGTAATGAAAAATGATTCGTAACGTCCATTTTCTTGACCTGATAAATGTGTGGTATAGATCAATAAGGAAGTCATTTTTATCCACACCGCCCATGGAGAAGTTATACATACGTATAATTGCTGGACGTTTTACCATTGTGTAAGCTTTTTGCTTCTTATCCCACCTCTTCACTTCATCTTCTGGTTCAATACCTACAAAATTTGAAGCCAAATTGACCATTTTGTTATCGTACCAACGCACTATTATAATTTTATTATCAAGTGAAACCGACGAGTCACAATTTCCACGCCCTAACTTTTTGAGTTGATTTTCGGATTTGAGTGGACAGTTTTCCATTCTGTTTGCACGAATAGTTCCGGCAACAAAAATGCCTTTTTCTAATAATTCTTCTAGGAGCAACAACGATGTGAAATAATTGTCACAAAACAGCTTGTGTCCTTTGTGTTCAGGAATTCTGTTGGAGAGGTGTATGACAAGTGCATTAGTAGCTGAATATGCATCTTGCAAATCAACAGGAAGTGTAGTAGAGCCCTGATATATGATAGAGCGGTATATACGTATAATGCCAGAAGCATCACATAACATAAAAACTTTCACCCCCCATGGATTGGGTTTCCCCTTCATATATTGTTTTATAGACAGTTGGCCTTTGAATGGTATTATAGACTCGTCTATACATACATTTTGTTCTATCTCAAACTCTTCGCATCTCCTTCCAAATGAGCTGACAAATGGACGCACTTTACAAAGTATATCATTAGGATTTTGCTTGTTGATGTCAACAATGTGCAAATTGTTTCTAAGCGATTCGAATCTATTTCTTGACATCCCAATTTCATCAAAAAACTGTATTCTTGTAGCCGGTGTCCAATACATCCTCAACCTTGGAAATCGAATAATACCCATCGTAATATGCAGAGCTACAAGTTTTCTTATTTCCTGAACATTTGCATTTATGTTTTTCCCGTGTTTCTGTAACGAATACATGTTTGTTTTTTCTGTTAGTTCCGAAAATATATCATCTTGAAAATACTTCGATAAATATTCCAATGGGCTATTGCTAATGTCGGGTTGAGGGGGTAAGGGAGTGGGAGGTGAAAACTGAATATCTGGTGGATGAAACTCTGCCTTTTTCCGTGTTATTTTTGTTTTGGCATGCTTTCCTTTTTTTGACATGAGTCTCTGTTTCATAATAGACAACGGAATATTGTCCTCCTCGTCTTCTGAATCTTGATCTGAACCTGGTTGTACTTCAAATCTTCATCTTCTTCATCCTCATTGTTTCGATCCTCCATATTCCCAACTTCATTATCGAAATCCTCTTCGATATCTGAATCAGGTAGCCCTGACAAAGCAGCTTGAGCATATTTCTTAGTGTCACTTTTTTTGCAAAAGTTTTTATCCCCCCATAAAAAATCATAGGTGGTATACCATCATCGTCTGAAAAAAAAAATAAACAAAAACATAAAAAATGTCGCGAATACCTAATGGTGGCATTTGCGTACGCAAATTTCAAATATCAGTTTCAAGTTCTTTTTTGCGTACAGGAACCAGTTTTTGGTATATATATCAACAATCTACACAAATAAAGTATGTCTGATGTAAAAAAGGAATTATAAACACGTATTTCACTAAATATTTAAACTTACCGAGCACGTTTTTGAGGTTATCGAAATCCATGCTTGCACAATAATCAATAATCGTCAATACAAACAAATGAAATACCACGTGTAAGCAATTTTTGCTCGAAACTCGTTTATAATAGTGCATTGAGGCGACATCTAACAGTAAAACTGTCAAACGCTGCTTGCAGCCGAGTGCAAATACCTGTAAATTTAGCAGTGGCAATTGCCACCAGCAGGGCCGAAAGGGATATTTCTTAGAAATTGAATATTCAACAGAAGTACTGATAACTTAGAGCTATCTTGAATAGATGTACATTATTGGTATTACTATCTCTAAAAAATCCATGTTCAATGTTTTTTGTAATGTAATGTGATTTTTCCTTTATAGCGAGGTTACCAAGGGATTTGTTAACCTTGACGAAATCAAAATCTTCAAAGACGACTACTCTTGACCAAACATTTTCCTGGTAGGCAATGTCCGAATCTTCAGGACTAACGCCGATCAAAAAGCAATTATTAACTTTGTTTCTATAGTATGTTGCTACTGTATTAACACGAGAATTTTAAGGAGTCCTCAATGTTTTCTCAATAACATCATCCTTAATTGGCGGCTTGTCCTTTAATATGTTCAATTTTATGGAAAAAAGCTCCTAACGCAAATGATGTGACTGGGCCATCAGGACTCGGATTGATTGTGTTCTTTAAGGTATCGGCACCGGTTAGTCAAATTTCCTTTTGTTGAACCGCTTCAAATACGTACGGTATAGTCGGGGCAGCATATCAGATTTTTTCAGAGTGAGGTTGAAATTTTATCATACTTTAGAACTGGTGGTTTCCCAATTTTTTTGCACGAACTTTGCATGAAGCTGTCAAAATTCCAGTGGCATAAGAGACACTACAAAGCTTTAATTAATGACGTAATACCGGATTCAGCAGAGGTATGTCCTTGCGAAGCCCCTCTGTCGACGTTTCCTTCTTCTGTGTAGTTATTTGGGCTCCCACACTGTTTGTTATCATATTCTTGCATTCTATGTTGACCATTACTATTAGATTCGGCTGGTGGTGTGTCAACTATAGTGTGAACTACCTTTCGATCTTTGCCTTTATCACAAGAACAGCAAAAACCAGTGCTGTAAGGAATAGGCTCATCATCGTATTTTACCGTTCCACATGTTGCATTCTCCGACTTTGGGTCTACGTTACAGCCTGTGTATCCTGTAAAGTAAACATGGACTTGAGTTACAAGCAAATCGATAGCATGACATCAGCTTTATATTTGTACACCAATACGGGTTTTGTGAGGTGTCACTATGGATGTGTTTTATTAATAACATTGTTGCTTTTTCGCTCACCACCAATGTCGAGCAGTTTGGAAGTTAGTTTATTAGGAGGTTATTTGAGCCCCAATAGCCTACAGCTAATCTACAGGGTGTATCAGAATGAGTTCTGTCTCTCATATTCACTTCTTAATCGGCACTGTATAATTCAACAAAATTTTGGCAGCATAATAGACAATCAGTGCCATACATAATACCGTCCGCAGAAAACAATTCATCCCTTTAGGTTGCCAGGGATGGTTTAGCCCTAATCTAATATCGCTAATTTCTTTAACACTCTTTATAATAATGGCTTAGCAACGATTTTTTTTGAAAGCTTTCTTTAAAATCGCCCTTGTATCTAATCATATATTGGAGCCGATCGGCAAAATGTGGGGCTGAAGCATAAGCAGCATTAACATAAGCTTTCCTGTATTTCCTCATCGTAGATCCATGATTATACAGAGATTGAAAAATCGCGTCAAGTGGGTTGTCTTTACCTTTCCCACGCAACGCCGTCATCAGTTCATAAAGGATTATGTTTAGTACAAGCTACATCCTATCGAAATAAGCCAGCGCCATAGGCCTTATATCCTGGACAGAGGATAGTTGCTATGCTTTCGTTCGTTGTCCCAGAGACCAAGCCAATGAGTTGCCAATAAACCACAAAACAGCTGTCTGTGGTTGGATGTTTTTGGTTGGACGGACGAAAGCAGCATGTTGAAGTTGGACCCTCTATTAGAGAAATTAAGTGGATAAAGTCCATCAAACAGGTCCATAACATCTTTCTCTGCCTACCCGTAGTACCGTTCATCTGGCAGCCTCGCATCGCCTCTCCCCAATACCTCATTCAAATTTTTTTCGCGATTACAATACTTCTACTCTCTACTCGCCTAGTTTCATAGGGCGTAAGAAAGGGCAACTCTGATGTTGCAATACCGTTGAATCATAGTTTCGCTCAGGGGCTATTCAAGAAAAACTGATATTCAGCGGCCCGTCTTTAACAAGACTGTAGTTCTCCATAGCCAAGCCCAGCTGAACTCCTTTGTTACAATGCATGTAACATATTGTGTAAAAAGACCCCTTAAAAATCGAGAGGTTGGCATTAGCTGTACTTACCTTGATCATGCTTATTGTAGACCTTCTCCTTGGCCAGCGCATTTACCAAGGTATTATACCCCAAAGAATATAACTGCATGATAGGATATTGCCTTATTTTCAAGATGTAAGGGTACAGTAGCTTCTGTTTCTTCTGGGTAACTGAATCGTATACATGATCAATCAGTATGTACTGATCTTTACAATTTGTTGCCCCATAGTTCTTTATTTTGATGGTAAACCGTATCTTCTTCGTGCAGTTGTTTACCACTTCAGTGTCTGTCTTACATTCATGATAATAAGTTGCATTTTTCTTTGTCCTAGGGAAGAATATCAATTTTTTTTTCACCGCAAAATATCCGTTAATCTGCAGATACACTTTTCTCTTTAAATGAGCAGTATTCTGTTTAGCCGCTTTTTGAGATCCTATGTTGTATGTTACCTTCAGTATCATAAAATAGTCAACTCTGTGCTTCGGAGATATCGAAGCGTTATTTCTTGGATAGGCACCAATAAAGTGTAGCCAGCAGTGAAGTAGTTCACATAGAGGCAAAAAAATTGCCACGTGATGACTGATATCAGCAGCTGAGGTCAGCAATTCATCATGAATAACCTATTCTGTGCTTTCAAAAAATGATAAATTTTTTGTTATTTTGTTTTTTAACAAAAGCTTTTGGGGTAACCGAAGTTTCAGTAAGCTTCTTTACCATTTGCGAGAGAAGAAAAGATAGAAAAAATTGGAAATAGACAAGCAATCGTAGGATAAGTTTCAGAAGCTTCATGACTCCTGAAACTGATTAGTACCTTGTTAGAGTAGTCCTTTTCATCATGCTCTGTGTATCCTTAGTTTGATCTGAATGATTATCGCACTTCAGGAATAATGCCCTGACCTCAAAGTTTGTTGCTTCGGGTGGCTTATTGCAACAACTTAATTTTTGTGCGCAACATCTCAAGTTCCTGCTTTCTTCTGACAAGATATCTCGTTCATTCTGTTCAATATTCTGACAATAGGGCAAGTGCATTTGTAGAAATACTGTAAGTAAAAATAATAGGTACATTTGCAAATAAAATTGTCACTATTGTAGGTTATTGGGTTACATGTCAAAGGAACTTTTAAAAAAGAGGGGGATGTTCTGTGAGTGTGGCTACAAATCAAAGGCATGCTAGAGCCTAAGTCAAATCATATACAGGTATATCATGATTTAAGAAGAAACTGACAAAATAGTTTTACCTTCAGTTCACCGAAGATATTGGTCATTATAAAACAATCTGATAAATAATCGTTATTAGCCCTTTCCACAACAGTATACACGTAAAGATCAAGAAACAAACCATGTTATATGCATAGGAAGTACTTTGTCCAAGATAATGATCCTATACATGGGGACCTCAATACATGGGGACCTCAATACCTGAGGAGGATACAGCTTAGGTTATATTAGGAAAAAGTTGGGTTCTTTGGGACGTATGTATGTACTTGCAGTTGAGGAACTTTCACGACTTTCTGAAATATTTGGGTAAAACTAAAATTAGGCCAATTTATTTCTATTTTTTCTTGCTTTATTTTAAAAAACATCAAAGAACTAACGAAACTTTCCCAATAGCACTTTTTAGCCACTACATGATAATGTTTTCAATTTTTGTACCCGACGGTTCGAAAAAAAAGGAAACCCTGTATCTAGTAGGATTGTTTCATATGAATCCAACGAGTATCGATGTATTGAAATCCCCATGTATAGGATATTTATCTTGGACTTTATTATTTTTGGTCACGACATACCGATATTTAAGAGAGGTATTTTTCAGCTATTTTTATCGACAAATCCACCCCCCTACAATGTCCTACCTCATCCCCCTTGAAATGGCAGCCATTTTTATTTTTACGTTACGATTGCGGTAGTGTATGTATGCAAAATTTTAATAACTGAGTCGGTAATTGCCACAGAATGATAATTTGATGTCATTTGAACGATGACATGTTGTCCTAACGATTATTGAAAAACTTGTTATAAATATGGAAGAAAATTGATTATTTTGTGCATTTCCGCACATCATTCAAAAACCAGTTTGTGAAGTTGTACTGTTTTTGTGCTAATTCTACAGCTTTTTGTTATCCTAAGTATTCTACGTTAAGCAATAAATGCTATCTAACATGGGTCAAAATGGGTGTAATAAAATGCAAATGCTTTTCAAACTTTTCATTCATAAAAATTACAAATCATTCTTTCTTATAGATTGGACATGTTTAATATTACAGAAGCTGTTCAAAATGTCCTCCTTTATTGGTTATGCACACTGTTGTTCTTAAAACAATGTGACGTGTTGAGCGGCAGACCATATCCGTGTCAGCCCTAATTTCGTTCGTAGCGGTATGGATCCATTTCATGGGGGATGAGGTATGACATTGTAGGGGGTGGATTTGTCGATAAAAATAGCTGAAAAATATCCCCGTCAAATGTCGGTATGTCGTGACCAAACACATTGTATATATAATATAAAAAACATGAAACTAAAACTAGTCGAATAAAATAAGTATCTCAGAAGCTTAATTATTTTGAGATTTGCCGAAAATTGTCTCATCGCAAAATTTGTTATAAAGGACAGAGCATGGAAAAATGTATTACGTCACAACTGTACTGCAAATTTTTACCTTATTACTTCAAAAGTACATCCTTCCTGTTCATATAAAAAAGGAAGTATTGAGAATATGCTTTTTGCAAGCAACATATGGAGATTCCATAGACAAATTTTGAAAAATGCTTTACTCTTCCAATGATCGCTCCTATACTTTTATCATTGTAAATAGATATGGAGCAGCTATGATGTAAAGCAATGTATTTTTTCAGGTAGACTTAGTCAATGAGCCCTTTCATTTTGTGACCTATAATATTTGTTGTAGCTACGAATAGACAAAAGTATCAATCCTGTTTATATAGAGAAACACTTGGAATCCTTGGAGTCGCTTATTGGTTAATTTTGAAATAAGGACTTTAAAAACATACGTATTTTGTCTTTTTCAACCAAGTGAACCTGAGGAAATATAAAGATTAAGAGTCCTAACATTGGTATGTCGTTTCAAGGACGTATCAAGGGGCAACTTCTTAAGTACTGCCTCTAGCTTGACAAAAAAAAAGGAGGAAAATATTTGTTCATCAAAATTAAATTGATCATTTGCAAGCTGAACTAGTACCTATTAGATAAGAAATTACTAAGATTAGTTGAAATCTATGTTAAATTTTAATTTAATACTGCTAAAAGCACTATATACAAAGTGTTAGGGAAATAATATTCCTAACTTTAAGAGGTTGCATTATTCTAAGCAAAAAAATCCAGTATAACCTATGTCCGAAAATCAACCGTTTCGGAGCAAAAAATGCTGAACATACTCGTATTTCTTTTTAGTCATGAAATAAATTAATTTTGCACCTTAATAATTTAAATTCGTATGACTAATAGCGTAAAATGTATCAATACATCTATTTATTAATTAACTGTCTCTAACAAAATAATTTTCTTGCTTATTAAATACAATTTTCCGAAACAAAACAAACAAAATCCCTCACACAACTGGCAACGTCGTACTCCGCCTGCAATGCATGTATCATCGCGTGTTGTTGTGATTGCTAATACATTTAACTGTAACTTTATGTGATTCACGGATGTTGCTTTTTTCTTTTTTCGTGCATCGCATCTATTCAAATAAGTGACTGCTAATCGTAATAATTGGTGGTGTCTATCGCGACGTACCGGTAAGTTCTGTAATTTTTTTAAACTAAATGTACTGTACTGAAAGTGTTTTATATAAAAAATACTAGCCACAAAAGAATGCGTAAAAGTACCTACTCAATAATTCAAGGCATATTTTCAACAAAAATACCTTACAAACGTAAACAATTCGATGAATCAGTTGCGGTCTTCGTGCGATCGTATCGCGGTTGCGTTGCAGCGTTGCCAAACGTTTGAGAAAATTCAATTATTTACGATTCACTTTCCTCGAAAACGATTGTTTTTCGGACATAAGCTATACTGAACTTTTTTGTTTATAATAATGCAAGGAATCACCTCTCCCTAACACCCTGTATATTAGGTGTGTTTCAAATTAGAACCTCACCATTGGGATATTGGAAACGGTAAAGCGAAAGTGACACGATCGGTATTTATTGTGGCCCGTACCATTAGTATTTGCTAATTATTCCATCACATCTGATTTCTACGACGCATTATGCATCAATACTCGTAATAGTCACGGAGGTCCAAACCAGACGTTCAACAAATATCATATTCCATGATAAATATTGACGGATCACAGTAAACAGTGATCCTGTGACGCCGGTAGTACTGTTTGGTGACTGATTGTTATAAGCGTTCAATTCTTACAAAGGCCAGTCCATTACTTTCATGGATAATATTATTCTAGGATTATAAGGTACTCATGAGGAGCTTCAAAATGACGTATCATCCGCCTTTTTATAAGCTCCTATTTCCACACTACGCTGAAATATAGTAGGTATTCATGCATCAATTTCATCATCTCGATTTTACCTCGCTAACTTGAATCGTTCAAAAAATAAGTAGGAGGGGACGAAACTGTATAAAATGCAATAACGAAGATCACTTGGTTCCATACCATCTAAATGAAATAAGGGAAAGAATATAGCAATCCAAAGCGAGCAAATAACTGAAGTTAGCAAGGAAGCTGTAGGTTAAAAGTTTGATGCGAGCGTAAAACGTGCTGAGTGGGTGCGCCTAGATTATACTCAATAATTAAACAATTATACAGCGTTTACTAGTCCTGGGGGATTGCACCGAGGAAAATTGCCTGGGGCCGAGCAATAACAGCGCCTTATTCCCTTATCATATTAATAAGTCGCTTCTCTCTAGCAAGTCAGGGAAAATTGCAGAACTATGTTGGAATGGAACGAGTAGGATGTGAAAGGATCAGTGACGTCGTCGCGAGACATTTGCAGCAAATGAACCGCTAGTTGACACGAAAGCAACCATAGATAACATAGATAGATACATACATAGATAGATGGATAGATACATTTATTTTCTTGCAGATTATAACAATGACATAAGGCTCATCCGAAGAGGAGGTACATAGCACACATAATAAAACAAACATAAGTATATATTTACAAGATAGTACAAACTGGAACAATTCTGAAGGCGTACAAATATTCAAATATAAAAATAAGTTCAGACAAGGAGTAGAAACATCTTTCAACTAATAATTTTCATAGTTGACGTATAACACTGGCAATGTTACTGACACTCCTGAGATTAGCTGGAAGTTTCTTATATATCCTAATGCAAGTGTATCGTTGTGATGTATCCCACAGCGTAAACGTGTGTTTTGCAATACTAGGCCCGTATCGTCAGTCGTTTCTACAATTGTAGGACGCCTTTATGGCCTTCTTGATTTTCATAATAGTATGTCATCATCAGTAAGGTACTTGTATGTACTGCTTTAGATTTCTAGTCTGCTGTCAATCAGAAGTCAATTGTGATGTTAGGTTATGTTTCTTTTTTGACGTTTAAGAAATTTTAGACAGATGGATCAAATGCCGAAGGATATTTTCTTACAAATAATGTTGATTATTCAATAATAATTTCCTACATTAAACAAATTCGTCAGGATGTGGTATCGTCAAGTCCCATATCTGGCAATAATGATATAAAATCAACAATTTAATGCAAATGGATGTATATTTATATATATTTCCCTGACAGCTTACCACCAAGCTGTTCCTTGATGAAGGTAGGTAAGTTACAAAACTGAACATTGCATCATCATATTTATATAGTTATCGCATTATCTTCAGATGTGGTTCGCTCTCACAGACTTTATGAGATGTTGGATAAGAAACATTGTATCCCAAGTGCAACTGGATTGTTGATGTCGGAGATGGCTCTTCTTAAATCATTGTTAGACTTTGGATTGCGTAGTGTCAGGCTACAAGTATGTATAATGTGTAAATGCTCTGAAATTGAATTTAAACATGCCCTGTCCTATCTGATATTTTTTTATATCAATGGGAACCTTAACCTAAAAAGATCAGACAATAACTAAAAAATATCATTATAAAAATGTTGCCCA